CAATTCTGACAGAATAAATGAATTGAAATCATTAAGGACAAAAAATATTTGAATTGAATAAGTCAAATGCTGACCAAACACCTTCTAAATTGGAACAATGCCCTTTATGTACTATAAAAGTGCATTTTAAGTCCTATACTTATTTGGTTCCTAAGTATTTAATTTCAACAGCACCACTTGCACTTCTCCTTCTAAGAAAAATAGCACAACTTTGTATGTTAAATCCACAGAATTGCTGTTTTATAGTTTCCTACACCCCAGGAGAATAAATTCCTACACTGAACACAGAAGACACTTCATAGTATTTTCTCCACATGTGGGATTAATCTATGGATGTTTACAAAATAACTTGATTTCATGAAAGAAAATTATATTCTCTATGCCATTAAGATCATAATGGCCTTTTGTATTTTTACTTATTTGCCCCATTTCAAAAAGTAAGTAGTGCTGAATAGTTTCAATAACAGATTAAAAAGCAGATTTTTCAACCAAAACCAAATACTTTTTACTCCTGAACATAATTATACACCACGAATATTTAGTCAATTGCCTACTTTTGTTCCAATATATTTTATATCACCTGCTGATTTTTACATAGTCTAAATGGCCCCATACATTTAAAATACACCACCATTTTTAGGCTATATCTCTATTTAGTACATATAACATGGAATATATGCCTATTAGCTTATTCATGTAAACAAATATAAATACCATATCCTAAAGTACAAATACCATGCCAGAGCTCTGCTCATTATGTGTTGAAAATCATTCCGAAATATCCTCATGTATGATGGCAATTTTTCAAGTAATTACATTAATACACACAAAATAAGCAAAGAAATAAATTATTAACCAGACCAATTAGACATTTAGATAAAACAACAGAAAAGTGCATAGTCTCTCAGCAGGTTTTCCTGATACAACTTTTCTAAAGGGCCATGGACATGTCCATAAACTTTTATGTTGTTTCTAGAAGAAAATGCAGTGTCCCTGAAGTCATACTGCCATAAGTCTAAAGGTTTCTTTTTTTTTTAAAATATATTTCTTTATTGATTTCAGAGAAGAAGGGAGAAGGAGAGAGAGATAGAAACATCAATGATGAAAGAGAATCATTGATCGGCTGCCTCCTACTACACACCCCACTGGGGATCAAGCCCACAACCCAGGCATGTGCCCTTGGCCGGAATCGAACCCTGGACCCTTCAATCCACAGGCCGATGCTCTATCCACTGAGCCAAGCAGGCCAGGAATAAGGGTTTCTTTTTGTAAAGAGAAATATGTTCCTGGATACCTGAAACAACTTTCAATTTTCTTGATGCATGAGAGACATTTCTATTCTCTCAAGAATATTACAGATACTTCAAATGTTTAATTTAACAATGCGACCTAGTTTACAATATTGAGAACCTAGCTGTTTGGTTTTCCTGCTTATGAATATATGGATTTTCAGTACTGTAAACAAGCACTTTATATGAAAAGACTTAAAGAATAGCTTTGCCTACAGTTATGCAAACTATTACTGAAATAGAAGAACTAATGCATGCCCACTTCAAAAACTAGCTTGCAAAACTCTATTTAATACTTATACATTATTTTAGCATACTGCCAGGTTTGTCAGTGTGTTCAAGTTACCGCATTGGACTTACACAATGAAGACTTACACTTATGGGAATGCTCACAGCAAGGCCTCAAATATCCTTCTTCAAATGATACCTATGTTTCGCCTTTACTTTTTAGAAGAGAGTACAAATAGAACCCATATTCTAGTATCACTGCTTTATCCCGTTTTTAAAGAGGCATTTATTCATATTTCCTAGAGTATATTTTCATGGTAATCTCTTCCTTGTCAGTCAAAAATGTGTGCAACTATCACTAATAACACAAGAGAAGTTATTTATTCTTAAAGGAGCTTTGAAAGTAGCTGCTTCTGAAATATCAAAACAAACAAAAAAGAGAATATACAAGAACACAAGATAGAGTCGAAGCCAGTTTGGCTCAGTGGTAGAGCATCGGTCTGCGGACTGAAGGGTCCCAGGTTCGATTCCAGTCAGGGGCATGTACTTTGGTTGCGGGTATATCCCCGGTAGGGGGTGTGCAGGAGGCAGCTGGTCGATGTTTCTCTCTCATCAACATTTCTAGCTTTTTGTCTCTCTCCCTTCCTCTTTGTAAAAAAATCAATGGAATATATTAAAAAAAGAATACAAGATAGAGCAGGTGGGGTAGGAGAAAGGAACTACTGACCTATTCCAAATCAAATGTGATAATTCTTTGATGTCTACATATTTTTAGGAAGAAAAGACCTAAAAAGAAGAAAGAAAGAAAGAAAGAAAGAAAGAAAGAAAGAAAGAAAGAAAGAAAGAAAGAAAGAAAGAAAGAAAGAAAGAAAGAAAGAAAAAGAAAGCATAGCACTTAAAATAGAGATAAATTCATTAGGGCAAATAGTCTAATGTTTGTTTGTCCGTGTGTGTGAGTGGAAGTGTACTATCATAATTAAATTGAAATATAGGGTTGCTTATTTGCTAAGTTATGTAACAACAGACACAACTACAAGACATGGCAGGAGAGGGAAAATCCTAAACAATGCTAGTAAGCTGAGGGGAAATTTTATGAAGTTGGCCAAATATCCCTTGACTATGCAGCTTCTAACACATTCCTGAAAAATGAGTTACAGACTGATCTAGATTTAGCTAGTTCAAAAGGCATCATTGAAAAAAAAAAAAGGCATCATTGTCATAATTTTGTTCATTCATTTTAAAATATACATTCCATCCAATCCTAAATTGCTTATTTGAAGAAGATCAGGTAAGCAGCCTTGCCTCTGCAGAATTTCCAAACCTAGGGCAGGGAGACAGTGTGAATGATACTTATAATTTGATAAGTATAGACCTAAACAATATGCCTTCTGACTTAATTTTTATATGACACCAGTCTAATGATAGGGGAAAGAATCTGGCTATGCTGATTGACATCTGAAGCTGGTAGAATTCTACAAATTGGCAATAAATGAAAACAAAAATGAATGAGAATGAAAAGCTCACTGCCTTCTGTACTTAGTTTCTACTTTATTCCAATGCATCATGTTGCCTAACACTTGCTTCTCTCACATATAAAGTTCAAGGCTGTAAAATGTATGTCAGGTTAGAAAGCGGTAAGCACACCAATGGTCAGGGCTCTTATAAAGATAAGAGTTGCTGTGGCTTTCTATTCCCAGTTCATTCCCATCTCTATGATATTTATCAGTGGAGCAGAATCCCTATGAGTCATTCTTTTCCACACTTGACTGGAGGTTGGCATATGTAAGGGATCTTTCATTTATGTATATTTATGTATGTTTACAAATATTAGACTGTCCACTGGTGATACTGCAGATTGATGTACTTATCAATAATCTTAAGATTATTGATAATCACTGGAATATTAAGTTTTTAGCAAAAAAGAATGTAAAGGCTGCTACATGACTTTATTTCTGTTGGTTTCCAAGAATTTCTTGGAATAGTTTTCTTTCAAAAAAATATTTTAATGGTGAGTTCTCAATCTTAAAAATTATCACTCTAAAGAGGTGGTAAAAATTTTGCTTTCTTCACACTGGAATTTGAAATTTAAAGTAAGATTTTTTTAAAATGTGCTATAATTGCAGAATTTTTATGAAATAAAAAATTTCAGTAACATAAGGATTCCAAGTCTATATTTAACATATAATATGCTATCTCAGATGCCCTTAGATGCTTCCAGTATGTCTCCTGGAGCAATGTGTTCTTTCTATTTTTTCTGAAAAGAAAACGTGTACTTTTTATAGGATCATTAGGATTATTGACTTGAAATTGAGAAAAACTGTATAAATCACTGTTGATCACTTCATACTGCCCACACTAAGTTGAGACCTATTGTTTTGAAAAAATACATTTCACTAAAATGGGCACAGACTCAAGAGTACACTACAAATTAAGTTAGAATTCCCTTGAATAGGTTCACTAAAAGTCTGTTTCACTATGCCTCATTTTCATTAACTTTAGAAGAAGTGGTTTTCCAGAGTTAGCATCTCATGTAATATCTCTATCATCTCTAAGACCATTGAATTCGGATGATTTGTTTCCTAAGCCTGTCATATCAATGATTTATTAGAGCTCAGTAAAAATATGTTTATGAATATACATTTTTGACCCAGTGCAAAATAATTGAAAATTAGCAGTCAAAATACTATGTATGAGTTCTCTTTCTCTTGGTCAGAGTTTTGAGGGGAGAATGTTCTTAAAATAAATCAGACAGGGTTTTAATGGGGGGGGGCGGTGTCTTGAATAAAGGGTATATTGTGAAAACATTATTTTTTTTTTTAAATCCACTCTCAGAATTTCACATCTTACTTTGGGGAACATATTCTTTTACAAGACTCCAGGAATTAAACAATATGTTAGAGTTTAAGTGTTCAATTTACCAGATTATCTTCCATTCCTTATCTCCAAAATGCAAGGCCAGTGATAGTCACTAGAACACATTTTCTGTAAACTGAAAATCACTAGACAGGAAATACATTTATCATAATTTCTTATAGTGCCCATTAAAAGTACATTTAAATATGACAGCGGTTCAGAGAAAAACAATGAAACATCACAATGAGAGCTGAAATATGGCTTCATAGGAAACAGGGCTTCATTCATTTAGCTTTGATTATGTAAGTGTCTTTTATTTTTGTAATAGTTCACATCACAGGCATGAACTCATGGGCCAAACTTTTCCAATTTTAGTTATTACCAAAATGTACAAACTTGACATAAATTGTATTTACAAAGAACTTGGCACTTACAGGATAAATTATTCACTTTTTAATCCAGACTAGGGCCCCCATGGTTCAGGCAAATGGGAAAGCCTGGTGCCTTATATAGTATGCTACATGGACAAGAATAAATAAGTTTCCAGCTGGTAATTCCTCCACAGTGCTGTCCCTGCTGCTGAAAACAAATACCTTTCATTTCTCATCCATGGGGAGTGGAGAGCAGGTATCAGTCCAGAGAGAGCAAAGGTTGCATGTTTTCTTCCTCATTTTTATCCATGCGTTTGAGGACTGTAGGATCCACTACTGATTGGGACCTGGAAATGTTAAAGCCAATGTTAGTGAGCTATCCCCAAATGATCTCATTCCCTTCTCTCTCTTTTCTCCATTATTGCTGTTCTCTCTGAAGCAGATTATCTCCCTTTGCATCAAGGGATTTATAAACTGAGAATGCTACACATTCAGAGAGAGAGAGACCCTTTCGATGGGTTTTGGATCCGAGGAAACAATCCCCTCTGGCCTCTAAATGGAATACTCAACAGCAAAGGGTCCTAAATACACAGAATAGGCTTAAGTTCTTTAAATATATATATATATAATTATTGAATTCAGAGAGGAAGGGAAAGGATAAGAGAAAAGGAAATATCAATGATAAGACAGAATTATTTTTCAGCTGCCTCCTGCATGCCCCACACAGGGGATTAAGCCCACAACCCAAGCAAGTGTCCTGACCAGGAGTCAAACTGTGACCTCTTGGCTCATAGGTCAATGCTCAACCTCTTGAGCCACACCGGCCAGCCAGGCAATAAGTTTAAGCTCTTTGAGATGGGGACTTTCTACTGTAAGACAGATGTATTCCAAATGGGAAATTATTACAGTAAAATTATTGTTATGAGACCTAAACTAAAAATGATAGGAGCCTTGAGTCCTGCCTTAAAGAGATCTTTGAAACACATTTAATATAAATGTGCATGTCTGAACCAACACTTTTTATTTTTCATGATCACATTAGGAAAAAAGTCAAAATTCAAATGTGAGTTTTGTTCAATTTCCCATTAGACTACTTGAATAAATAATTATTCTTAAAATTTTGTGAAATGTTTTAAGACTTTTAAAGAGTTAAAACACAAGAGGCCTGGTGAAAATGACAAAGGTATTAGGAAGTACAAATTGGCTGTTAGAACAGAGTCACAGGGATGTAAAGTACAGCATTGAAAATATAGTCAATAATAGTCAATATATAATCAATTATAGTTCATATATAGTCAATATATGTGGTGTCAGGTGGGTGCAACATTTATGGGGGGAGTGCTTTATAAGTTATACAAGTGTCTAACTTGCTTATATAGTACATAAAGCACTTAAAAAAATTAAAGTTATGTTAAAACCCCTCTTGTTTCGACAGCAGCTCTTTATGACCAGGAGGGCAAATACTGTGAAAATCCCTTCCACATGCCTTTGATAGCAGGTGGGACTTATATATTAGGAAACAACATAAAACGGGCAAGGAGGAGAGTTAATGAGACATGCCTCTGTTGGGGCAGGAAGCTGCCATCCTAATGGCTGCAGCATTAAGGAAGCAGCTGCCCTTTTACAATTCTCCGCGGTGATGAATTTTCCCCCTGCTGCTGCATCCCAGCCAATTGGCTATCACTGTGCCTCTTAGCAGACCTCATTAACTTTCATACAGAAAGACTATCAGCTAAACGACAACTGCACATGCTAATGAAAAAGAAAAGCAATGGAACTAATTGTCAAAGCAAAAATAATTACGAGATTAACTGATAAAGTCAGTCCTTCGCTTAAATAAACTTAAATTCCTTTCTAAAAAGAGAAAGGAAGGTGGGAAGACTGAAACAGGGAGGTTTTAGTTCCTAATTCATTTTTACCATTTTATCTCAATGCACGGTATTAGATGCCTAGGTCAGGAAGGAAATTGACCAGAGTTGAACGTGTGTGTATGGAGAGAGCAGGATAGAAGGGGACCCAGAGGGAGGAAGGGTAACAATAATAATTTACCTTGGAAATACATTTTAATATTGCTCAAAATATTTAGTCATCAGACCTTTAAAACTGTCTTTCGTAGACAACTAAAAAATTGGTTTCCCAAGATTACTCCATACTAAAACATACAGAGTTTTATTTACTGCCCTGCACTAAAGTATTGGCTTGATACTGGTACCCACTGCACTATACATTCCATGAGCAGGGACTTTATCAGTGTCTTTCCTGCTGCAAATACAATGTGTTCCCTAGGCTGTTACACAGTAGGATCTCAATATTTTAACTTCTAATCAATAAATTGTTTCCATACTGGGGTGGGGGGGGGGGGTGTAACGGTCTTAAGCATTCAAAATGAATAGCAATTTATCCTGTGGAGAAATTCTTAACAGAAAATGTATTTTTAAATTCTCAAAAAGTTAAGTCTATTATATAAATCCTAACAACAGTCAAGGAATACACACCAAAGCTCTTCAGACAATGCAAAGGACACAAGCATTTGCCGAAATGTTTTGTGAAAATATATATCACACACACACACACACACACACACAATCTTTTAAGTCTTTATGTTCCTTGACTATTTGTTAAAAGTATTAGAGGATATGGTGACTTTAATAACATTTGAAATTATAGTGGGCTATTCCATCTGGGATTAAGTTCCTACTTTGCTTTCATCATGCACTGCAGATGTAAGAATGGCCCCACGTATGCAACCATTCCTTAATAAAACAAGCCAGACAAAAACCATTTCCAGTTCAGATGATTAAGATTTTGGGGGGGTATTTAATTGGCCCAAGTGTACTATTATTTTAATCCAATGAAATTGCTATTGTTATTGTAGTTCTCTTATACAAAACAAAGGGTTATTTGTGCAGGATCATAAGATAATGAATTGGTCTATTTCAGCTGCAGTTGTCCATACTGAAGGCATAGGATATCTCAACAGCCCACCCAGAGCCTCTGTTGTCTTTGCCATAACTTTTATTTTTTACTAAAGCAAATAATTTAAATTTAACTATCCAGGTATTACTAGTTCATTTATTATGCATCTACTATAGCAATATTGTACTACATCTTAGAGTTTTAAAAGGCTAGATTTTAGACAAACAGGATTCCAGTTCTGCTATTTGCTATCTCTGTGACTGTGGGAAGGCTACTTAAACTTCCTAAAAGTTTGTTCTCATTATCTATAAAATGGGAAACGTAGCACCCACATCATACAGATATATTGAAGATCAAATGCAATAATTCATTCATAAACACAAGCACAAATTCTGGCAGATAGCACATGGTAGCAGTTAAGGAAATTATGTATGGAATTGCCTGTGTTCCCATATTAGTTTCACTACTTTGTAGCTATGTGACATGAGAAGTTACTTACCTTCTCTGTATTGGGTCTCTTCATTAATAAGTTTGGGCTAGTACTACCTTATTAGTTGTTTAAAGAAGCAAAGGGATATATATATATATATATATATATATATATATATATATGAAACATTAGTTAAGTTTTGGAAGGTAGTAGCAATAGATGTTAAATATTGTTCAATAAAACTGAAAGTCGTATTTGTATAATAGTATTGGTGCTAAAGGCAGGCACTATCCTAGGTATTAGAGATACGAGGTCAAAAACACTTGCCCAGTTTAAGGCACCCTCAATCTACTGAACTTTGTGTCTTATCACGTGACTATGCTGTTCCTCCACAATTTTACACAGAGGGACAGAGTCCTCTTCCTACACATCTAGCTAAGTTCACCCAACAGAAGAATTATCTACAACTGTTTTGTAAAGAATGATTTTTCTTTCTCTCTCTGAGTATGACATAAATCTGAAAAAAAAAATAGAGAAGTGGGGAACTGCCATTTCCTGGGATGGAAAAGATGAGAGTCCAGTAAAATAACTTTCTTAATCTCATTCTTAGAGAAGTTTTCAAATATTATAGAATAAGAGCTTCATATGATACAAAGCCTACACCAAACAAAGGAGGTCTAAAAACCTAAGCAGCCCACATCAGAAGCAAAAAACTCCAGGGCGGGGAGTTCCATGTGCTGTGAGCCAAGTGTGCAGGGAACAAAATGGCCTAATTAATTGAAGGAAAGAAACCCAATCCATAAAGACTTCAAAAGGTGGATAGACTGAGCCAAATCTAACAAGATGGTATAATTGATTAAAGTAATGTGCTTGGAGGAAAAAGCTATACTTAGAAATAGAGAATTATGAGAATTTGGAAAGAGACGTACTAGTTTTAGGCAGTACAATATGAGTCAGCAATGTGCTCTGGCTTCCTGAACAAAACAGCAGAAACAAGAGGCCAATGACACCTACACTGTAAAGCCAGAATTCTGGAACCTCAGTGCAAGTAGTAACAGTGTCAGGTGTAACCTGTTCAGTTCTCAACATGGCACTTAAAGGGGCCACGGACAGATAGCAGAGGACGCCTTTATGTCTCAGCTAGTACCTAGTGAACACCCTAGGTGCCAGGCCCTACTCCAGGTACTAGGGATGCAGAAGGGAACAGGGTAGACAAAGTCACTGAAGTCTCCATGAAGCTTACACTGGGAAGTTGGGTATAAAATTAAATAAAATAAGGCACTTCATTGACTGGTAAATGAGGAAGAAGCAGAACTGATTAGGACCTGGTGATTGAGAAAGGTCAAAAGACCTCTTCAGTAGATGACCTTTGCCAGGGCCAACCATTGGACACTGTAGGAAAAGAGCATTCCAACCAGAGGTGACAAATATAAAGACCCTTAGATAGGAACAAGATGCAGAAGCTGAAGGAGGATAATAAAGCATGTTTTGTCTGAAAGGTAGGAGAGGAAAGAAAAGGTAAACAAACAGAAAAGAGAGGTAGGCAGGATCAGATCATGTAGCACAATGTAAGCCCCAATATCGAGTTGATTTCATATTGTATAATCAGCTTTATGCTTAGTGGAGAAATTAAAGCAGGAGATGTCATTGGCCTTTTCTTTCTCTCCAAGGAGCGGTAGAGCAGCCTAAAGAGAGGAAGACATCACACACACACACACACACACACACACACACACACACACACACACACACATATATACACACACAGTAGTAACAGCAAAGAGAGAGGCCGGCTCAGAGAACTGCAATGTCACTGCATGAGTCAGAGCAATGACAGGGCCATAAGGCTTTCATCAGGGAAGGATGCAAGATAGTGTTTGGGATGACACGTAAGATGCTGTTGGGTTCTGCCTGAGCTAGGGGAGGAGAGACTTGCAAGAGCTATGGTTTCTTTTTTTTTTTTTCTGTGATGGGACATGAACCAATAATAATACTTATTACATTTTTCACATGAACCCTGGGCTGGTGTGGCCTGCGAGAACTGGGAATTAGATATCGTCTATGAGCTACGGAATGCAAACTCAGTTGTACGTCTGTGCATGTCTGTCAACTCCCCACCCTCTATAGCTGGATGATGGCTAGGTGTACATTGTATCCACAATGGATACAAAACACCTAGGAACATGCCTATCACAGATCATGTCTTCAATAAATATGCACTGATTGAAAGAAAACAGTCATAAGAATACTGTGAGAGTCAAAGCAGGGAGTTTGACTCAGCAGTGAATTTTATAAAGATTAAAGCTGTAAGGAAGTAGAACGCTTTACCCCAAGAATGTCTAAACCTTTAAACAAAAACTTGGCAGAAATATTGTAAAGAGAACATAAGCTTTAGATATTAGTGTTTGAAAGGGGTGTGTGTGTGTGTGTGTGTTTGCTATGGATCACTTTCTTCAAATGAAATATTACACTGAAATCTAATAAACTGCTTAGAGAAAAAGTCATTTTCATTGCAATGGAGATGGTCCCCATCCCCATCCCTCCTGCCTGGCCTGAGAAACCCAACTAAACACTGAAGCGTAGTTTGAAAAATCGCTGGATTTAGTGACTTCTAAGGGCCCTACTAGATTATCTGTGAATCTTCAACAACACTGAGTTCAGGTTGGCTCAAATGACTCTCTTTGACTCAAACTTCCTAGACACCCAATCATGGGGGCGTAAAATGCTTTAGAATCACCTTCAACAATATAAAACCTGTACTTAGACCTGGGTAGCCTCTGCCCTGACCCTAGCCCACTTCCCAGATACCTCCCACATACCTCTTCATGGACTTGGGGGAGAGCTCCTTTTCTACTTCTTTCACAGGCATGCTGTACGAGTCCACATTGTATTCACTGTCGTCATCGTACTCGTGGTCGAGCAGTGTTCTTGCCCATGTTCCCATGTCATAAGGGGGCAGCATTCCTCCAAACTCAGAGGGCAGGATCTCAGGATGAATTAGTTGGTGTAGACTATTTAGGTTGTTACCATGCAAAAATATCTACAAATATAAGAAGAGAGGTGGGGGGGAAACACCCAGAGGAGAATCAATATTACCCAAATGCTGTGGGAGAGAGTAACAATAGTAAGAGCAGAAGAAAGAATTTTCTATGTCCATTAAAACAGTTAAGCCCCTTATCCACTCTGTGAAACAGGCAGGCTGGTATTGCATATAAAAATTCTGAGGTTAGGGAACTTTAAGGTCTGCTAGTTATTGGGTTAAAGAGCTGGAACCAGAATTTGGTTTTCTGCTTGATAGCCAGGTTCATTAGGAGAATCTAATGTGCATGTTGATGTGTACATCATTCTGATGTTAGTTGTACAAGGCTGATGATGTGCATAATGAATGCTATTAAAACAGATTCTTCCCATAAGGGACTCATCAACTACAAAGCTCATCGAAGTTATTGAGCCCCAAAGCTGTCACTGGTATGGCCTTCTCTTTATCATCCGTAAAATGCGAATACTGTAACTACTAAATTACCACTTTGTAATGCAAACTACATGATGTAAATAAAAGTAGATTAGCATCAGCATCGTCATAATGAAAGATTAAGTGAAGGTTCATGTCCCAAAGGACTTAGGTTCTATAGCAGTAGTCTGCAAACTCATTAGTCCACAGAGCCAAATATCAACAGTACAATGATTGAATTTTCTTTTGAGAGCCAAGTTTTTAAAACTTAAACTTCTTCTAATGCCATTTCTTCAAAATAGACTCTCCCAGGCTGTGCTATTTTGTGGAAGAGCCACACTCAAGGTACCAACGAGCCACATGTGGCTCAAGAGCCGCAGTTTGCCGGGACCGGTTTGGCTCAGTGGATAGAGCGTCGGCTTGGAGACTGAAAGGTCCCGGGTTCGATTCCGGTCAAGGGCATGTACCTTGGTTGCGGGCATATCCCCCGAGGGGGGTGTGCAAGAGGCAGCTGATCGATGACTCTCTCTCATCGATGTTTCTAGCTCTCTATTTCTCTCCCTTCCTCTCTGTATAAAATCAATAAAATATATATTTAAAAAAAAAAAAAAAAGAGCCGCAGTTTGCTGACCACAGTTCTATAGTATTTCACCATCTTCTCTTCTCAAGATTTCCATGTTTGCTGTTCAAGTAGAAAATGAAGTAATAGATTCAAAATGTAAAGATGTATGCATATAGTAATTATGGGTAATACTATCTACATAGAGCTTTTTTTGGTTAAACTCAAAAACTATTCAAGCTACAGACTCAAGATCTGTTTCCCCATAAATTACTACCTCTTTTCTTTCATTTCAATCTCAAAACTGCAAATCAGTCTTCTCAGATAAAGCACAGTGTGCAATCTCATATAAAGTTACATAATATTTATTTAAGAAGTATAATTTATAAATTACAGAAATGATTTCATACTTCAGGTTCATGGCGAACAGGCTAACATATTTGTCTTTGTTTTTCATACTTTTAGAATCTACCGAAGTTAATATATAGGAAAACTAAGGAAGACTAGTCTATAACATCAGCTAAAGTAAAAGGATGGCTGTCACCAATCAACAAGTGATTTCAACAGTGAAAGCAGATGAGAGCAAGTCATTGGCCAAAACAGGCAGAAAAAAACAGCGACCTGGAATATGTGATGGGGGACCTACGGAGGGAAGATGTCATCTGTCCCAGAGTACATCAGATTAATTCCAAACTTTATACTTTCCCACTCCTATTTGCAGAGCCCAATGGCCCAGGAAACACACACACACACACACACACACACACACACACACACACACACACACAAACACATTCTGCTAGGTTCTTCTCATAGGAAATTAAAGGAATATTTTTCCTTGGAAAGTTAAGCTCTAGCATCTGAAACCCTTATTTTATTAGAAATATAACCTTTGGTTTATCAGATACATTACTTCGTGTAAGAAACCTTCTCTTTCCAGTCATGCAAGACGTCTGGTAAGAAATCCTTGGGGAAATAAATGCAATCCAGCACACTACCTCCTCTCTTACACTAACACTCTGCTACCTCCTCTCAACAACACTTTCAGCTTTGGCCTCATTTCCTCTTTTACTGAAAAAATAGGCCAACCAGATGCTCGCCACCCACCAGCATCTGTGTCCATATTCTTTGCCATTGTTCCTATGAAGGAGAAATGTTACAAAGGCCAACTTCTCCACCTGTGTACTGGAATTCATCCTTTCTCTTCTACTCAGTTATACTTCCTAAGCAATTCTGTCTCTCCCATATCATCAAATGTCCTCACTCTGCTGGCTCTTTCCCATCAGAGAACAAACATGCCAACTCTATTCTTCTGTTCCCCTACACAGATACATAAACCTCTCTTGGACCTCCTTCAGCCTCCAGTTAGTATCTGATTTTTCTCCTCCCATTTATTACAAAACTCATAAAAATTGTCTACATTTATTGTTCAAATATTCTCTCATTTTTCCTAAATCCATTGAAAACAGATTTTGCCTTCCAACACAGTAAATTGCTCTTATGAAGGTCCTTCTCACTGCTAAATTCATTGTCCAATTCTCAGTCCTTATTTTTCTTGAACTCTCAGCACTGGATATAGTAGATGATGCACCTCATGAAAACATTTGTACTCAAGATCTTTTGATTTTTTCCTACATCGATCGATGTTTATTTCAGTCTCTTTTGCTGATTCTTCCTCAATTACCCCAACATCTTAATGCCAGAGAGCTCCAGGGTTCGGTTCTTGAATTTATTCTCTCCAACTATTCGCACTCCTTGGTGATTTTATTCACTCTCATGGTTTTAAGTATTGTCCACACACTGTTTGTCATATACACCAGGAGTATTTCTACCTAAGGACCTTTGTATTTGCTATTCCCTCTACATGAGACAGCATTCTGGGCAAACCATATTCAGAGCAAATTGCTTAACCATCTAGCCTGGTATTTTCTCTGTAAAAGGAGAAGAAAAAAAAAGCAATAAGCCTTGCTTTTAGGATTAAATGAGTTAACATATGCAAGGAATTTAGAACAACCTGTGCAGAGTGACTGCTACAAAAGCCTTCACTAGTATAATGTGTACTGAAAGTTCCAGCAGATGTTTTGGATCACCTGATCATCCTTTCATGCAACAACATTTGCAAGTGTTATTTGTGAGACCCATCAATCCATTTTTCCAAATTCTAAAATGTAAATTAATTTGAGACTCAATGGTAGAAACCATTCCCAATATCCATTATAATTGTTTACTGAATTATTCCTCCTAAACTACCGGGAAATTTTCAACAAATTCATAGACAGAAAATACTCTATCACTAATGTTTGATACAAACATATTTAACAATTTTTTCACATTCCCACTTTTATGACACTGACGTCACTGAAGTGCCTTTTCGTTCACCGAGGAACATGGAAAATTTTCTTCCACGTGGATCTAGAGCTCTATGTTATTATGGAACTAATTATTTGAAAGTTGGTCATAGCACAATGGTAAAAATAGCTCTAACTACGGGGCTATTTTGATTCAAATATTGCTGTACCACTTCACAGCTGTATAAATGACTAAGCTAGTTACTTATCCATCCTAAGACTTATTTTCCTCTGCTCTGAAATAGGGCATAATGCTTAATAAGCTTACATTCAGAGATGTTTGGAAGATAAAATAATGTCCATTAAAATGCATTTTTAATCAATATTGTTAATTAATTAAAGGCCCAGTACACGGATTTGTGCACTGGTGGGAGGCGTGGCCTGCAGGGATCGGCCCCACTGTGGGAGTTCCATTCATCCCAGTCAGCTAAGCAGCGCCTGCACTGTGGGAGCACACTGACCACCAGGAGGCAGCTCCTGCATTGAGCGCCTGCCCCCTGGTGGTCAGTGCACATCATAGCAACTGATCAACTGGTCATTTGGGTCATTCTGCTGTTGGGTCTCTGGGCATATATATATATATCATATATATATATGTGTGTGTGTGTGTGTATACATATACATAGATATATATATGTGTGTGTGTGTATATATATATATATACATATATATATATATATATATATATATATATATATATATATATATATATATATAAAACTAGAGGCCTGGTGCATAAATGCATGCATGGGGGGGGGGGCCAGGGGGGAGCCGATTGGGGGCAGGGCCGTGGAGAGTTGGCTGGCCAGCCCCATCCCCTGGTTGAACTCCCAGTAGAACTCCTGGTCGCGGGGACAATTTGCATATTAGCCTTTTATTATATAGGATAATAAAATGTGTCCAGCTTTTACCATGTGCCATGAATTGTGCTAAATGCTTTCTATAAATTATCTCATTCTCAGAGAAAACATTTTGTATGTACACTCAATATCCTCATGAAACCAAATCTAAGAACTCAAGTGACTTATAATTTAAAGGGATATTCATTTTTTACAAATTAGCATTCTTTCCAAAGTGTGTGATTGATCTTGACAATTACCACAAAATCATATTAACTACCACAATTCACTATATGCAATGAAACTTAGGTATATTGTGAAATAACTAACTCCACTTATCAATTTCTAAAATTATACCTTTGTCTAGACCTACTAAATATTAAGTATACCAATAACTATATAGTAACATAGCTTTTTTTTCCTTTACTTTTAAACGAAGGCATTAATATATAATGAATGTGCCAAAATGTTCTCGAAATTTGTGGAAAAATAAGAGAGCAGGTTTTAAATATTTTCCTGATAGATACACTGTTCAGAATTAAGCACATGTATTTAAGAATTAGAAAATGTCTTGTACATTTACCATGCTAATATGCACACAGTGTGCAACATAATTCACTGAATGGAGGAAGTGAAATGAGGTGAATGAGGATAGAAACAAATACCCTTTTCCGCGTCTTCTCCTTCAGGAAAGGCCGGATTACAGTATACAGGGCATGGATATACCACGGCTGGTTGACAAAATGAATTCCTCCGAATCGGGCTGGGAAACTGTCCTAGAGGAACACGAGGGAAAGAAAATCCAACATATAATACTTAATATACGGCGAAGGTTTAGGGAAGGTCATACGATAGACAAATTTTTTACTCCACACACTTAAATGAGATTATCTGTAGTTAGGAGAAGAAGGGAAGATATTTATTGCATGAAACACTAACTTTCATACAAAAACAAAAACAATTTGTAATAAAGAAAATCCTTTGCAAGAATAGATATAAGGACTTCAGCATGTTTAAGACTGTCATATATTAAGCCTGAAAACTGCCAACAGCCATTGTCAAGAAACATAAATAAAAGATATTAGAAATTTGTCAAATGAACCTATGATAGATAAGTGGCTTAATTAAATTTTTATATTAAAGTGCATTTAAATTAAAATGTTTTATTACATTTCACTGTAGTCATCTATAATGTGAACACTGTCAGATATCAAAACTCATTTTATCCTCTTTCTCTTATCAACTTCATAATAAACATTCTCCTTTCCTTATTTCAACCATTAACAAAAGGAAATGCACTTAAGCAAAATAAAAACCTGGAATTGTGGTGTAAGGCATTTAAAGATGGATTCTGCCAAGTTAGATAAAAGTCAAAACCCTCTGAGCTCTCCCCACTGGTGGGTACAGGTGGGCTGGCTCTCATAAGGCCAGCCTCTGCTTTGGCAAGAGGTCGCCTGTGTAAGGTTTGCCTCTGAAGTGATGTATAAAGGTTCATCCCAAAGCCATTCCACAACAGGGAGGGATAAGTGAATTAATTGAAACATTTGACAGTGCTATGGATCCCACATAAACAGGCCTGATTCTTGCTACTAGTTCAAAACACCACACTGAATTGACTATTGATGCCTAAGAAAAACTATACCGCTACAAATGTCCCTCAAGTGACATCATCATAATTGGCATTCTTCTGGATTCTACTTAGAGCATTAACAGAAACAAAAGTTACTGAAATAATTGTACATGTATTTTTTTAAAATTAAATGATGCTTGAATAAGATTCAAAAGATTAAAAAAAAACATGCATAATATAACCTCACTAATATATTTTGTTTGGGGGAACACTTATGAGCATTAGTAATTCATTAGTGTTTTGAATACTAATTTTCAGAGCCCATGAGCATTTTTGCAAACTAATTTCCGTCTCTGAGAATAACACACTATAAAAAAAAAACCCACATTACTTCAAACAATAAATTAGAATAGCTAAAGGTAAAATGTGATTCCTTTTATGTTGATGTCATTACTTTCATAAATATGTAGTTTCATTTATTAAGAGGTAATGAATGAGGTAGAAATACAGACAAGTATGTTTCGAACTTATGACATTTTTATATAGGAAAAGAAGATAATGTTTATAAAGTTTAAAAAATGCTGAGATAAATACCCATGTGCCCTCTACTTAGCAAATCATTGGTATCCTTGAAGTTCACTGTGTTCATATTCTTTCACCCTCCCCCACATTTTTAAATTTCACATTATATTTCAAATATAAGAATTTCCCTGGCTTATATTTTATAAATATTATAAAAACATAAATATTATATTTAATCTATATTTTATGTATTTTAATATTTTCCTACATATATATTTATGTTCTCCTTCCTAAAACATACTAAGTACTTAAACTTCATAAAATCATCATCATAGTGGATGTATTCTCCTGTTGTCATATCTCATTGGTTTTGAGGTTCATTGTATTGATGGTTGTACATGTTGTGCAAAGCTAGATTTCATTGTCACTGTTGCATAGTATACCATTATATGATACAACACAGTTCACTTATTTTCTTCTCTCCGTGAAAATTATTTTCCAAATTTCTGCCATTACTAGAAATGCTGTCCAACATATTCCCTTCAGAATGTCTACCCCACTGCAATCCCTAAAGCAGTAGGCTTCTAAAACCTACTCCTAAATGGACATTTGATCTCCAGAACAGAACTGAATGAATATCAACTATCAAGTTATAAAGCCAAAAGTCTTAGCTCGGTGGCTTTTAAACTTTAAGAATCATGTCCGGGTCATTTTTTTTCTATCCTGAAAAAAATGAATATGCACACATGTTCACATAACTCATACAACAGGTCATGGGTTTCCTGAATACATCTTTAGGTATAGAACAACATGATCAGATCATATTTGGGATAGGGTGAAAGAGAAGGAAAAACATTGATTTGAAAGCAAGTACACCTTTGGTTAAAATTCTGACTTATTGCCACCTCTTTGGCATCAGAGGCCAAAACAAGGACATAATCCTTATTTCCTTCCCCTCCCTGTGACCTCTCATTTCCTTTCTCTCTCCTCCGGTGGTATTACCACATACATATATTATACCTTTTATCATTGTCCGACAGTCCTTGGATACTTTCTTTTGAGTTTTTTGTTTTGTTTTGTTTTGTTTTGTTTTGCTTTCTCAGCTTTTATTATCTTTGCTTTTCAGTGTGGGGGATTTCCACTGATCTATGCTCAAGCTTAGAGCGTTTTTTCTCAGCCATGACTAGTGGATTGATAAGGCCATCAAAGGCATTCCTCATTTCTGTTTCAGGGTGTGTGGTCTCGAGCATTTCTTTTTAAGACTTCCATCTTTGCTTACATTTTCCATCTGCTCTTGCGTGCTGTCTTCTTTATCCATTAGAGCCCTTGGCATAGTAATCAAGATTATTTTTAATTCCTGGCCTGACAGTTCCCACATCCCTGCCATGTCTGGTTCTGACATTTTCACTCTCTATTCAAAATGTGTTATTTTGCCTGTTTTTTAGTATGCCTTGTAATTTTTTCCTTATTAGCTGGGCATGATGCACGGGGCCTGAAGGAACTGTTGTAAAGAGGCCGTTAGTAAGGTGGTGATAAGGTGTGGGAAGAACGGAAAGCGTTTGATAGTCTAAGATGGGGTCTTACTCTGTTAGCGAGCCTGTGCCTCTACACTGGGAACACACAAAGTTATTTCAGATTTTTCTCTCCCCTTAGGTGGAGCAGGTAGCCTGGAAGAGAGTATTCCCCTACCCCCCAATACCCTCAAAGCTCTAAAAATACCCCAGCAGCTGAGGCTCTGCTAATCAGTTTCTTCTGAGGGCAAACATTGAAAAAAGAATGCTCTTGCATATTTCAAATTGTTTCCTTTGACTCTTTCCCTGACAGAAATGCAGCACGGATTTACTGTCAGAACATTGATGGCTCCTGGAGGTGCAGAGGACTTCCTTCTGCTCCGCTCCCCCTTCCCCCCTCCCCCACCCCACGACTAAGCACCACCCGGAGCTTTTATCTTTCAGCTTCTCATAAGTGCATATCTATAATAATAAAGGTGTAATATGCTAATTAGACCAGACAGCTGAATGACCTTCCAGACATCCTTCTGGACAACCTTCTGGACGAAGCCAGGGCTTCGAGGGCCAACCCCTTTGCACAAATTTTGTGCATTGGGCCTCTAGTAGTAAAAAATTTGGAATTGTAGAAATTATGCTTTTAATTCCACAACTCTATCCCTAAAGTTATACTAGTATTAAAATATTGCACCATTCTTTTATGATGCTTTTAGTATAAATATAAAATATGCTTATTATACAAATAATTGAGTAAGTTATAAAAACTCACTCATAATCTTACCAGTCAAAGGAAAAAATACTACTCTAAGCATCTTGAAGTATGCTTCCTTTTTTTTTTCAATTAAATTTTATGTACCTGACATGAAAATCTAAGAGTCTGGAATTATGATAATGCTTCTATAATAGCTCATAGCTATACAATATATAATATTACTCTAAAAGTGTGTGTATGCATAGAAAGTACAAGGTGCTTATTGTCCAATTGGTTCCACTGGTTCCTTAAGTAGCATCAATATTAGCTTCTTTCACATAAAACACTTACTAAGATTGGTTTGCTTTTGCATGCTAGCCACACAATGTTTTTCTAAATATGTCTTTTGGCAGTATCCTTTCTAGATGGTATAATATTATTTGTATTCCTCATATCCATCTTTTATAACGCATTAACTATCTTTATACACTTCCTACTCATCTTCTAAAAGGCTAAGGATCCTAAGGAAGTCATGTTTATCCTGCTTCCAATGCCCTGCTCCATTCCTACCACTTACATCCTGTGCGTGTCTAATACTGAAAAGAATAAAATTATCCTTGTGATCCCATATATTCAGTTTTATCAACAGTGGGCAGGCAGATCCAGGAAAGTCACTTAATTGTTTTCATGAGGGAAACAAAGAATTTACTAACACATTATAACCAGTGTCTTCTGCCAAATTGAGAGGAAACAGCCAGAAAACTGTTTAATCACCAGCTAATTGGAATATCTTTTCTGTCCCTGTCTCTCATAACATAATGAATCATATGTAAATAAATGCAAATAAAAGATTGAAAACAAAGGATCTTGTTCCTGCTGCGGAGATAGAAATTGGGATTGTACACATGCCCGGAGATGTTTGACCTTCATCCTCTTAACCTCTCTAACTGCCCATTAAAAGACCTACAATAAAGAAATTTGGTTCGCTGAAACCGGTTTGGCTCAGTGGATAGAGCATCAGCCTGCGATCTGAAGTGTCCCGGGTTCCATTCCGGTCAAGGGCATGTACCTTGGTTGCAGGCACACCCCCGGTAGGGGGTGTGCAAGAGGCAGCTGATAGATGTTTCTCTCTCATCAATGTTTCTAACTCTCTATCCCTCTCTCTCTTCCTCTCTGTAAAAACTCAATAAAATACTTTTTTTTTTTAAAAAAAGAAAAGAAACAAAACTTGGTTCAATGCAAAGAATCTTATAGAAGTAAAATTTCATCAAAAAAGTAATTGCTCTGCCTGGCCAGGTGGCTCAGTTAGTTAATGCATTATTCCATGCACCAACAGGTTGCAGGTTTGATTCCTGGTCAGAGCACATACCTAGATTATGGGTTCCATCCTGGTCAGGGTTCATGTGGAAGACAACCAATCAATGTTTCTCTTCTCTCTCTCCCTCCCTTTTCTCTCTCCCCCTTCCTCTCTCACTAAAAAAATCA